TGTTTCCCACAGATTTGCACTGATTAATCACAAAAAAACATTAGAAACAAGCATGGAATAAACCAATGGGTGCATATGACTCTAAAGACCCAAGTTTCACAACCCAGTATTTGATAAAAATGTGAATAACCTTGCTTAAGTCACATAAGGAAAGAAACAGGTTTGGAGACGTCAGCAAGTAATGAGAAAAATTAAATCTGCATCATTTACTTCCCGTATATAATTGATTATTAATATCGGGCGCACATAAGCTTCAAAGAGGGTGAATAATTTCTCAGCAGATTACACCATTACATTAGAGAAAATAGGATGAAATAAAGAGATTGAGTTAATGTACTAAGCATTGCAGAGCCCTGATGATCGCTTAAAATAACACTACCTGGAAGCAGCCTTTTGAGCAGGGAAAGAGTGATGCTTACCTCATTTACTATTTAATCATCCCAAATTTTCCCATGGTGGCCCATCTCAACAGATGACTTGGTCAAAAATTAAGCAGCGGGAAAAATTGCAGTGTATGTTAAACACCTTGGGACAGTCCAATTCTGTGCATATTTAATTTGAAATATCTCTCCTTGCTCCTTGGGAAGCCTGGAACATGCCCATTATTTTCTAGGGAATGCATCCAAGAGAGCTGTGAACATTTAGCATCTAACACCAAAATACATTATGTAGGTCAGAAGTGCATCAATTCTATTGGCTTGAGGACCAGATGGTGTTTTGCATGGCAAGTCAAGAGTTCACCACCCCCCTTCAAAGTAAACCCTTTTCTATTTTATTGTATAATCTATTTTCTATTTTTTTTTTTTTGGGTGTGTGTTGTTTAGTTGATAATGCTATTTGGATTGTAATAGCACCATTCAAAAAAAAAAAAAACCTTTTAGCACGGATGGGAGAAAAACAGATTGCACAGGGAGAGAGTGTGAGCAGTAGAGTAATATATGGAGAGATGAATTTTGAAGGTTGGAGGAAGGTTACAGGAGAAAAGTAGAAAGAGAAGACGGAGAAGTCATAGAGCATCATTCCCCAATCTTACTAGGTTGGAGGCCTGGAGCAGGGAGGGGGGGAAAAGAGGGGGTGGTTTTCTGAGAGGGGAAGGCATGCACGCACAGCTTTATTTGTGTGAGGGAGGGCCCACTGCTCGCATGAGTGGGGCTATGCACACCTGCGTGCCCTGGCCTGCCACCAGTGGTGGGATTCAATTTTTTTTACTACCGGTTCTGTGGGCATGGCAGGGAAAGGAGACTGCAAAATCTCCAGTCAGAGATGGTATTTGCTGGTTCTCCGAACTGCTCAAAATTTCCGCTACCGGTTCTCCAGAACTGGTCAGAACCTGCTGAATACCATCTCTGCCTGCCACTCATGTGGTTCTGGTTCAAATAGGCCACCTTCCAGTAGTGGGTCATGGGGCCCCCTGCCATGGAGGAAAATCAGGGGTGGTATTCTACCAGTTCGCACCTATTCGCTAGAACCGGTTGTTAACAGTCTAAAGCAGTTCAGAGAACCGGTTGTTAGAAGAAATTACTGGCCTAATCCTGTAAGGAAGGCAGGAAGGAAACATTCTGGTGTTGCTTACAGAAACTGCTTCTCCGTTAACCCTTATTACATTCTTGGCGGGACTAGACTTCCTGTCTTAGGAACTTCTCTGGAGTTTTTTTTTTCTTCCTTTGCTGGTACTTTGTTTGTGTGGAGTGACCATTGAAAGTTACAATGGCACTGAAAAAAGTGACATGACAATTTTTCACACTTACGACTGTTGCAGCATCCCCACAGTCACGAAAGGCCAGGCGAGGAGATGGGTGCCTCGATGTGAGTGATATTGAGTTGGCCACGCCCAGCCAGTCACATGACCACCGAGCCACACCCACCAACTAAGCCACGCCCACAGAACCGGTTGTTAAAAAAATTGAATCCCACCCCTGCCACAGACCACAATTTTTCCTCTGGTGTAAGGCATGCATATGGATAAAGTATAAATGAAGCTAGCGGGCAGGTTATTTGAAAAAATAAAACATAATATACGGAATGGGAGAGTTTGGAGGAATCCCATCTTCTAAGAACTCTCTGTCTAAATTCTCTGCAAGAAGAAGCTTTCATTGCTAATATTGATTTTAGTCAGCACTCTCACTCTTCTGGCTTTTTGCATTACCAACAAGGCAATAAAGAAACCTCTTTATAAATAATAAATAAAAGTGGAGAGATTTTTTTATTATTACTGTAAGAACGACTCCGTTCTGAGATGCAGCAATTACGCAGTGCAGTGTGTAAAGTCAACAGAAGTAGGACGAGGCAAGGAGGGGGGGCGGAATGATGTGGTTTTTTTTTCAATATCTTAGTCTGTAAAAATCAGTGTGGGAGGTTTTACATGGCATAAAAAGAATAGATGCCAACCAATGTCTCAAGACCAAGTAATTTTAAGAGGCTAAATAGAAGAGACCTGGGTTTCATTTTGCTTTTGTTAAAATGACAATTCTGATATGTTATATTAACTTACATATTTTCTACCCGCCCATCCCTTGCCCCAAAGATTATTCAGAACTTTCTTCCCCTTGGTGAAGTCTTATATTGCTAAGACTGCTAAGATGGATGCTGTTACTTTTTCAAAGGTCACAATTGTGTTGCCTCAATATTTCCCTAGGCTGCTCCTTGCATTCCCATTAAAAAAACAAAACAAACAGCCATCAGGTATATAGCTGTATGATGTCTTGACCCACAGCAACTCTGGCATTTTTTAAATAGTCTTGTGACTACATTGCCTCAGACCGAAACAATTTGGTGGCTGGCCAACATGGCTGTATCCCAGTCAGAAATGTTGAGGTAGAGGTGGGAAAGAGAGAACTGTTATAATATTCACTGGGAAATGATGATTTGGTAGGTTTTATCTCCTTTTAAAATTGAAAATGTTCAAGTCTCCAAGTGTTTTTTCGCTCATACATGTGCCTTTATGCTCTTTACCCAGAACACTGGAAGACACACACTATTTTAGCTGTTCCTGAGATGATGGACAAAAACCATACTTTTATACATTATTCTGACATCAGATAATAGATAATCAGAGTTGGAAGGGACCTTATAGGTCATCTAGTCCAACCCCCTGCCCAAGCGGGAGACCCTACACCATGTCTGACAAATGGCAGTCCAATCTCTTCTTGAAGGTCTCAAGTGATGGTGCTCCCACAACTTCCAAGGGCAACTTCTGTTCCATTGGTTGATTGTTCTCACTGTCAGAAAGTTTCTCCTTATTTCCAGGTTAAATCTCTCCTTGTTCAGTTTCCATCCATTATTCCTTGTCTGGCCTACAGGTGCTTTAGAAAATAGCTTGACCCCTTCCTCTCTGTGGCAGCCCCTCAAATATTGGAAGACTGCTATCATGTCTCCTCTGGTCTAATCTAATCTCTTCACTAGATTATCCAAGCCCAGTTCCTGTAACCGTTCTTCATATGTTTTAGTCTCCAGTCCCCTAATCATCCTGGTTGCTCTTCTCTGTACTTTTTCTAGAGTCTCAACATCTTTTTTATAGTGTGGAGAACAAAACTGGATGCAGTACTCTAGGTGTGGTCTTACTAAGGTTTTATAGAGTGGTATTAGTATCTCCCTTGATCTTGATTGTATCCCTCTGTTAATGCAACCTAGGATTGCATTAGGTTTTTTTGGCTGCTGCTGCACACCATCAGATGGAGAAATCTCCTGACAATTAGAACAATTAATCAGTGGAACAACTTGCCTCCAGAAGTTGTAAATGCTGCAACACTGCAAGTTTTTAAGAAGAGATTGGATAACCATTTGTCTGAAATAGTATAGGGTTTCTTGCCTAAGCAGGAGGTTGGACTAGAAGACCTCCAAGGTCCCTTCCAATTCTGTTCTTCTATTCTATCATACGTTTATAAAGGGTAGAATCCTAGGTCATAACCGTGTTGAAGGCAGCAGTGCTGTTAGCTCTGGTGAGAAAAGCCTGCTGTTCAGGACTAAAATATATTCCATGCAAATTCTAGACCAGATTGTATAGTCTAGAAGGAGAAAGTAAGGAGAAAGCTAATTATGAAAAATATGTCCTTATTAATCATTCAATTCATCCGTTGCTCAACAAGAAGACTTATCTGGACAATGTACAGAATACAAATACAGGTTAAAAATTGCAATGTCCTTACTGCAACTGAAGCAACAGCAAGTTAAACAACTAGGAAATGAAAGCAAATTAGTGTAAAACATTGCAATTATGTAATACTTATTGACTGAGCTAGTGGCAGGCAATTAACTGCGAATAACTAAACATATCCTGGAAAAGAATATTAAATTACAAACTTGGCTAAATAATCATGGTAATCCCTAGGAGATCCTAAAGTTTTAAAAACTTGGGAAAATCAAGTTGCATGGTAAGGATATTTGACTTCGAGGAGGATGTTCCAAGTCAATGGTACATTCTTGGAAAAGTCTGGCAGTTGAGTCAGGCAAAGTCAGCTGAACTTTTCTTTTTGGTTTTGCTGTTTGTCTAGGTAGCTTCTTCAGTCTTCAGAAACTTTCAGAAGTCAGTTGCTATGATTCAATTTCCAGACACCTCTATCTGGATGACTGAAAATCTTTATTGGTATTATTGGAAAGGTGTATTTCCATTTGTTTAAAGTCCAATTTGTTGAACAAGCCTTTTTTATTCAATACGCTAAGCCAAACTACATTCAATACATTATAGTTGATTTTTAGGTATTAATCCTGACATTATATCCATATCCAGAAGAAAATGTTACATTAAGCATTGATTCAGCAGGCTAGCAATTATATATTGACCTGAAAATGACTATGATAATATAAGGCTGTCTAGATGTTTCTTACAACTTTCAACAGCATCATCCAGCCTTTCAAAGAGTAAGAAATTATACAAATTGTAGTTCAGCAATATTTGGAAAGTCACTTAAAGATTGATAAGATTCTCCAACGTTATTCTCAGCTAGGAATGATTACTTGAGAAACTGAAATGGAAATCTGGTCCTTTTTGCTGTTTACTGCAGGAATGGATCGACCATAAATTGTGCTGGAATCCTGAAGATTATGGTGGGATCACTGCAATTCGGGTTCCATCTGAATCTCTCTGGCTCCCTGATATTGTTTTATTTGAAAAGTGAGTATAGGGATCCTAATGCAGGGAGGGGGTGGCCAGCTGTCCTAGTTTCTCAAAGATAATCCTCTGTTTTAGAGAGATCTGAAGGGCTATCCAGTTAATGTCTTGGCTGAAACTGACAATACTCATTAACCATTAGGACTGGCATAGCAACTCAAGTGCAAATCTGTGAAGTGTTTGTTATTGTTGTTTGTAGTGGTTTTCCATTTGTACCTGGATTTCTTTGGCCTAATTGAAATGTACCTAAGCAAGTTTTCTCAAACTCTATAGAGGGAGTCCATATGCTTCAGCCTCACTTCAAAAACATTCATTCAATTCCTGTTGTATCAGTACTTTCTTGAAATATCTAAATATACTTCCTAACTAATATAAAGAATAATTTAATTTGATCAAAAGCAATGAATTAGACCACATATTTTGTTCACTGAGGAGGTATTTTCAAGTAACATTTGATGCTGTAGACCAGGGGTTCCCAACCTGGGGTGCTCGCACCCCCTGGGGGTGCGAGAGGATATTCCAGGGGGTGCGAGAAAAGTCCAGGTAAATAATAGGATATTGGCTATATGTTGGCATTTTTATTTATTATGCAATGGATTAACTTTGTTTTCATTTTAGAGTTAAGTATCGTTATTTAGTGGCCGTCACATACATAGCTGAAAAGATTCAATCCTACCATATATTTAACGCGTTCAGTAGTTCCTAAAGTCTAAATTTCAGGGGGTGCGAGGTTCACGTGAAATTTCTTTAGGGGTGCGTGGCGAAAAAAAGGTTGGGAACCACTGCTGTAGACTTTACAGTCCAAAACTGAAGAAAGTGGTCCAAAGGGAAAGGCCTGATCCCTCAACATGCTTCTCGGGTGTCTTAGAGCCAGCTGGTCCTTTCTTCTCTGAGCCCAGAGCAATGTAGCTGATAGAAGCAAAAATATATTCTATGGGCATATTAGGAATACCTTGGATCTTCAGGAATTGGGGGGAAATAGTGAATGTCATTTTCTTACTATTGAAGCAATCAAAACAAATCGAAAACCATGCTTAAGATGTGAGGATAGTGGCACAAACAGGGCACAGCTAAGATAAAGGTTGTTTTCATCTACATCTCCTTTTCTTCTTCATCCCACTTAGGATTACTACCTGCTAGAATTAACTGATTAAATATTATAGGCATAGTGTGAAGCATGCTGACTGACAACTTAGTCTAAGGAAATCTGATTGTGGGACTTCTCCCAGGCTAGTAAGTCAAGAAAGTGTTCTAAGAAAACTCGTATTTGAGGATAGGTTTTGCCACAAGGAACAACTCTCCTAAATCTTTTTAAGTTTTATTTCTGAGGTCTGATTTGCAGACAGGCAGTAACTTCCACAAACATGAACTCACAAGAAGTAGTATCCTTTGAAAACAAGGGGAAAGAATGGGGAATTGGGCTACCACTATTAACTGCAATAGGAAGCAATAGGAAAAAAAAATTATTGGAACAAGCAGCATGATATGTAATTGAAGAACAGTTTTCTCCTCTATCCTTTCTAGTGCTGATGGGCGTTTTGAAGGTTCATTGATGACAAAAGCAATAATTAAGTACAATGGGATAGTAGTATGGAGACCTCCAGCCAGTTACAAAAGTTCCTGCACAATGGATGTGACCTTCTTCCCATTTGACAGGCAGAATTGCTCCATGAAATTTGGATCATGGACCTATGATGGCAGAATGGTTGACCTGATCCTAGTAGACGAAAATGTGGATAGGACAGACTTTTTTGATAATGGGGAATGGGAAATCCTAAATGCCAAAGGAATGAAAGGAAACCGAAAAGACGGATTATATTCCTACCCGTTCATCACCTACTCTTTTGTTTTAAGACGCTTCCCACTGTTCTACACACTTTTCTTAATAATCCCATGTCTAGGACTATCTTTTTTAACGGTGCTCGTTTTTTACTTGCCCTCAGATGAGGGAGAGAAACTATCGCTCTCGACCTCTGTTTTAGTTTCCCTCACAGTTTTTCTCCTGGTTATTGAAGAAATCATCCCCTCTTCCTCCAAAGTCATACCCCTGATTGGCGAGTACTTGTTGTTCATCATGATTTTTGTCACGCTTTCAATCATTGTGACCGTTTTTGTAATTAACGTGCACCATCGTTCCTCGGCCACCTACCATCCTATGGCTCCCTGGGTGAAAAGACTTTTCCTTCAGAAACTGCCTAGGCTGCTCTTCATGAAAGGATACGTGGATCGCTGTGCCTTCGCGGATCCGGAAGGAACTCTAAAACCAAAGCTGAGGAAGCATAAAAACAAACAGTTGAAAGATGGAGAAAAGGTGGTGGTTGCATTCTTGGAAAAAGCTGCCGATTCCATTAGATATATCTCTACACATGTCAAAAAGGAGCACTTCATTAGGCAGGTAAGTTAGGAATCAAGAGTGGCCTGATGTCAGTTTTTCATTTACCTCATATCTCCCAATTCCCACAGCAGTGTTTTAGTCCTAAAGACTAAATAGCTGTATTGCTATTATCCTTCTCATCTTTGTCATCTTAGAATTTTTCATCTTTTAATTTTTCATCTTTCCTACTACCTTCTCCTTATGGTTTATCATTTGTTGCTTGTAACTTATGATTAATGATTGTAACTCTTATTTTTGTTCTATAATCTATCACTTTGTTGTTTGTATGTACACTGAGAGCTTATGCACCAGAGACAAATTCCTTGTGTGTCCAATCACACTTGGCCAATAAAGAATTGTATTATATTCTAGTTCCGAAATCAGAGATGAACTCAAACCTGCATTTTTAAACAAATCATCAGGTCACAGCAAACTGAACAAAGTAATCTCGAATGTAAGAAAAGCTTTTTCTTGCATTTGTAAATTTAGAATATGTTGCAAAATTGGGCCAGGATTCTTCTAATCCAGCATTGGCCAAATTTTAAAGCAAAGAAAAGTAATCCCTGGCCATTGGCAATGAGGGTTGGGGCTTGTGAAGTTGCAGACCTCAACGTTTCGAGAAAACATCAACTTCCTTATCCTAGATAACCCAGTAAAAATTGACGAATGTCTATCAAAGGAACATGTTTTACCCTATGTTCACCCTTGTGTAAAATTAAAAGAAATGATTGTGCTTGGCATTTTAAAAGAGAATGAAGTTAAGGTCAGAAAATGGTTAATATTAGACTTAACTGTAATCTGATGCATTATGTACCGGTTATAAATTGTTAGCTTCCAACATAAATACCGTCCGTGTTCTGAATATATTTTTCTGCTCCAAAGGAGAATACTGCTTATTACTATTAATCTGGGAAATAGAATTAAGTACCATATTTTTTGCTCCATAAGACGCATTTACTTTCCCCAAAAGTGGGTGGAAATGTTTGTGTCAGTCCTTTGGTGAATAGCAGCTGGACCGCGATGGCAGGGTCCTTTTACAGTGCTGAACCCTGCCTCTTCTGTCTTTGTCATTGCCCGCTTCTTCTTTCTCTTTTCCACAGTGCAGGAGTCAATAGGCAGAGCTGGCACATGATATAGTCCTCTCAGGTTCTGCCTGATATATATTTTGTCCCTCCTCTAAATCTAGGTGCATCTTATGGCCAGGTGCATCTTATAGTGCAAAAAATATGGTAATTAACTTACCTACCTGATGAATAATTTCAGTTATGTAGCACTCCCTAAACTATCTTGTTTTGCTATCTTGTCATCTTGTTTTGCTAAAGGATTTTTTTTAAAGCTCTACTTTACAGAACATGAAAACGCTATAAGCAGATTTGATTTTGATTTTGGTTCGTCCAAGTTGCAATCCTATCTCTATATATGAGTGAAGGAGACAAGCAGGAACTTGTGGTTCATGCCAGCTCTGCTTGATCAGCTGCATTGGAAAAAAAAAATGTTATATAAATTTTATGAGTCATGCCCAATATTCAATATCCCCGAAAGATAATATCAATGTTTATGGAACAACAGACTTACACCACATCTGACCCACCACTGAAGGCAACCTTCTACCTAATGCCATGTATCCTTAGTGATCCGCTGTGCTTCACAGAGTTATCAAGCATAAATTGACATGATGGAACATAAATTCGGCTCTCGGAATAGAGAAGAGTTGAATGGCCCATTAAGGATGGGAGAGGTTCAAAAAAGATTACTCAATTCTAGGAAAGACGAAAGCACAAGATGAAAAGCCAGAGTAACTCCATCTGATTGGGGTTTTTTTTTGTACTGTATAAAGTATGGTAGTATTCTACTATAGTATTCTAACAGATTCACAAAAAGAAAATCCTAAAAAGATAAAGATCATTCCTACAATCTCTGTTTCTGGACCTTGCCTACTTTGAAGGGTGAGAGTTGATGACTTAAGTCCCAAGTATTTTTTAAAGCATGCCTTCACTTGTATAAACTGAGCATTGAACTCACAACTCTTATTTTCCTCCTCTCTCCTAGGTCGTGCAAGACTGGAAGTTTGTAGCTCAGGTTCTTGACCGGATCTTCCTGTGGCTATTTTTGGTGGTGTCTGTGGTCGGATCTGTTCTTATATTTACTCCTGCTTTGAAGATGTGGTTGCACAGTGGTTTGTAGAAATAAAACCATCAATTGTGTAAGAATCAACTGGAGGAAGAAAACAGGAGATCAAGATGCCTGGTTAGGTAATGATCAATGTGCACAGAATCAACAGGAATGTCATTGACACCAAACTATGCTGGATAGATTCAGATCAAGTTTTAGATCAAATCTTTTAGCTACCAAGCTCATGAGGTGGGCATGGATTGCACAAATGACTACTTTCATCTATATTTATTGTATTTATAGGCATTTATCTGTTTACCAAAATGTTAGAGAAAAACAGATAAGAATATAAATATAAGAATATAAGACTATTACGTACTGTATGTTCATCACCTTGAGTTACTTATAAAGTAATAAAGGCAGGATAAAATAAAATCTAATAAATAAAATTGGTATTTCAGCATTAGAAACTTAAGATTATTTCTTGTTTTAGTTTACGTGACAGATGTTGCATGTTTTTAACTTTAGTTCTAATCAGCTCAAATCAACAAGGCCAGAGTTATAGTTCAGTTTAAACTGTAATAGCTTTTCCCCAAATAATCTTTGAACTTCAAAGAACATTCCATGAGTTTTTTCCTGCTCATTTATTGTGAATTTTCCAAACTATTCTCTGACCCACCCCCTCCCTCATGCTTCCAAAATTTTGATACATGTGCGAAGGAGGGAAATTCCCAGTAGATGGATTTAACTTAACATTTAATTTTAAAAAGTCTCCCATTTAAAAAAAAACAATGTTAAAGAAACCCACAGAAATCATGAGGAAAGATTTATGTAACTGGACTTTCCATTGGATTAGCCATATTTAATAGTCAAATTTCAGAATTTACTTTCCACTATTACACTGAATTTACTTTCCAATATTACACTGACACCAACTGTCATTGGAAAGATGACAATTTATTGCACTATTTTTTTAAGAAAAGATATTTATGTATAAGCTTTATAAAAAGTAAATGTTATAAACACAGATTTTATATTTTCACACATTAGAGATATATAAAGCATTAATAAAAATTGAATGTATGCATATAAATGTGATGAGCAGCAATGTCCTAATTCATTTGTTTTTGAAATGAACTTTGAGGACATAATCTTTTTCCATCACTTCAATTCTCGTCTTCTCAAAAGCATTGTTTGTGTACCTCCTTGCTGTGGGAAGCAGGGAGGAAAAACATATATTATTTAAATTAGCAGGCTTTGCTTTTGATCACTCTGCTAATACATTTTGTGAAGCTTACAGACTGGTGTTCCTCTATATCAACCATTTTAAGCTGTGTGGATTGAACTCCAAGAATTTCCCAGCCAGTATGACTGGCCAGGGATTTCTGGATGTTGAAGTCTGCACTTCTTAAAGGTGTTGAAATTGAGAAGCACTGTTACAGATTATTGGTACTGCAGGATCCAATCTGAGTCGGTCACCAAGACAAGAAGTTTAGTCTTCCAAGCTTTCGGACTCGTGCTGGAGCCCATCCTTAGGGAACCAACCTCTCTTCAGAACCTCTCTTTCTCTCTCTCTCTCATTTGGGTGAGAGATAAGTTCCCTGAAGATGGGCTCCAAAATGAGAAAAGGGTTACCTCTACTAGTTTATTCTTAAAGGTACTTATATCTTGCTAGAGTTAAGGTTGGAGATTTTTATTTTCAAAAAAAGCTGAATATTTGTTGAAGATCTACAATGTTTCAGAGGGATTTAGCCTTTTTTCAGTCTCTAAAAATATATACTTGCACATGAACTAATATTTGAATCCTCATAATGGTTCGTGAGAAGACCTAAGATGGATGCTTTTTAATTGTAAAATAATTATTGTCCAGATAATCTATATTGAAAGCCAGTGGAAAGAAAATCAGGAACATTATTTTGATGTCTTCAAAATGAGACAATTTATCCTTCCAGTCAAAACAGCTTCTATCTACCTGTAGATTTTCAAGGTCTTGTAGCATATTTTTTGCAGACCAACTTTCCTTCCTGTCAGGGGGTTGTATGTTTTCATTTGCTCATGTATACCAAAAGATCCCCTTTGGATACTAATAATGTCTCCTCCAAAACTTTATACCAGTCTTAGGAGTAGCAGTAAATATGTGAAGAGGTTCACATAAGAAGTTTATTCCACTGTTCTTCTTTAAGTAAGAGCTGATTTTGTCCAAAAGCAAGGGCCCAAATCATGTATTGTCATAATTCAAATACTAGCAGGGTTGGGACACAACCAACATTAGTTAAACTCAGCTTTGCCTTATTGTATTATATTCTCCCTGGAGTGTTGATGTTACACCTACAAACTTCCGTTCTAGGCTTCTACCATACGTTAACCACAATTGCAGTTCTTTGCTTGCTGGGTTGCAAGACAATGTTCACATTTTTACTTATACCACTTAGGTTTCAGGATGGTAAGCTATTCCTATGGATTAGTTCATAAGTGATGCGATGTGCTTACAAGCCTAAAGCTCTTTCTCCTTTGGTTCAGCTCATGAAGTCCACCTATGTGCAATCAGTAAGTGGTACTATGGAAAATAATTGTGTTCTACATTCAGTCCACCTCTCCTAGCATGGGAAGTAAAACTATTTAGTGCAATGACTACAATGCATCTATGTCTTATATGTGAACATAACACTGCTTTGAATGTTGTCAGCCAGTAGTGGCATGTCATCACTCACAAGAGCTACTCATGATTGTATATGTTATTAAAGAAAGCAATAACAAATAAATAATCTGAAGACTGAGAATGTTGTTTGTGTATTAAACAAAAACAAAACAAAAACAAATGGGAAAAATGGAATAGCCTTCCACTATAGGAGGAAATACTGCAGAGCATAAATAAAGGCAGAGGTGGTTTAAATAGATATATGCTACCAATGATATCAATATTTTTGCTCTCTATTGTAAAGTAGCAGTGTAAGTAGGAATGGTTCCCCCCCCCCCCTCTGTATTAGCTTCCATGCCATGTTTGTCTTCTCTTTTCGATAACAAGCAGTTTCACACAACACTTCAAATTTTACAGACCAGGAAGATAGCCAAGCAACCTATTAGGAAATTAAAGAAATATTTTCTAGCCCCTCTGTTTTGAAGCTACAAATATACAGCATATAAACCCCCTTTAAAAGTAATTATTAGCTTTAATTAATTATGATCTGCTTGAAAATTTAGAAAATAATAGCAGTAGAATAAAACCTGGCAATTAGTCTGGGTCAAAAATTACCGTCAATCAGAAGTACACATAACTCAGGAGTTAAGTGTGGGGGGAAATCATCCCTCCAACATTAACTCAAATTTCTGTTGGAGGTTTGGTTTACTTTCTATAATCCTAAGTCGTCATTTATCATTATCGTAATATTGATATCCATTGATTAGAACATTGCAATGTAAGCATTTTGGCGCATGGATGGAAAAATAAGTGGAAAATCTGCAGGAGGCAAAAAAATGGGTCAGAGAAAGGTCATAAAGGAATTATATGTAGAGAGACAGTCAGCTGTAAATTTGAAATTCAGAACTAGTAGGGAGACGCTGACTTGCCAAGAAGGAAATAATCGTTAAACTAGGGTCTCTAGGAGCATGTGATATGTCAGCTAAAAATTACAACATTCTTATAATATAAATGGATGAGTTTCGGAAAGAGCTTAGCTGACCAATATCAGGAAAGATTTTTGAGATGTTGGTGGATTGTTTAGTATTAAATTCCGGTGATCCTATAATATAGGAAGATCATTTTGGTAAGGTCAATTAAACAAAATTGCATAGTTTTTGCACATTACAGTGAAAATAAAAGCACAGCATTTTCATTCAACTTTAATTTTTGGTAGGACTAGAAAAGACAGATACCCATGTACAAAAAGACTAATCTGAAAAGGTTGTTGCAATTCAATGAAAAGGTTTACACATCTTGTGTGCTATAATTATGAGTTTGTTTTATGCTTAGCTTAGCTTAATGTATTGTGGGAACTCAGCAAGTGTGATTTTTACAACATTGTGGCTGTAGGAACCAGCCAATTTACTTGACAAATCACGATTAAACAAAAAATGGGGTAGGCCCTGCAGGCATTATGGAATAGATTGGTTTGATAGTATAAGATAGCTTTCATATTTATTGCTCATTAGAATAATTACACACATAGCTAAAAATATTTAATAAATGGGTATATAGGGCGATAGAAAAAATGTGTCTGCAATGCAGAATGCGTGTGGGCAATAGGCTAAGTGAGCAAATCATACAAATGTTTGATAAATTGGGCTGATTTTTTTCCCCTAACCTTGATTGCATTTTCCCCCTGATTTTCCAGGAATTATTAAATCATTTTTCAAGCTTAAGTTATGCTTTCAAGCTCACACTTTAATAAGGTACACATGAGAAGAGCAGGGAAAGAAGAGACTAATTGTTCAACTAAAAACATTGGACAATGGTACATATCTGCTGTTTTGGTTGGTCTGATCTTCCCTTCTTGAAACTCTAACTTGAATAGCAAGTTTGTGGCTCTTATTTCTTCCTGGCTAAAAGAAGAAGCTAGAAGTGTCAAGACCAATGGATGCTGTCAGAATGATACTCTCCAGTCTCCAGTCCCAGAACAATTTTATATTCCAGCTGGTGATTGAGGGCAAAGCAAGATTCCTATCACTATTCTTTTTCCGGGTGATCTAAGTGGCCATATTAGTCAGTTTCATTATGTTATTTCAGGAAGGAGGGAAATAATTTCCCAATGATTCTTTATTTCATAGACAAGATCAAGCTATGCAGCCTTTCAATTGTATAATCCAAGGCCAGTTTTCAGAGGTGGTAGAGTGAGACCCTATGAAAGATAGAGAATTGGCACAGTGAGAGGCCAAACTTTTGCATGTTTTGAATGGCCCCTTGTCCACTGATTCTGCTTAGAGCTTTTCTAAAAGTTTATCACAGTTTTGAAAGGCAATACAGAAATGTGTTTAACTACTACCTGATGTGTGTGTGTGTATCTGACATTATTGAAATATAGCCAGCTGAAATTTATTTTATGTCATGAAACTTTCAAGATTTTACAGCATGCTTC